ATATATATATATATATATATATATATATAAACCTATACATATATACATAGTGTAAAATACAATAATTCTTGGACGAGAAGTCCCCTTAAACTCAATGGTTATAAATAGTACTTCACTCTGTCTTTGCACTGATGTTTCCATACGTAGGTGATCAGAGACGAGCTGGAAAGCATTCCTGGAGAAGGCTGTTGCTTTCTGACTTAAATCTGTCATTCAGGAAGATGGATGCTGCAATCATAGATTTTTACGAATTTTTGCACTTAAAATAGTTTAATGCTATTAGGGAATTACTTTAAATACGGGTCTCACGGACTCACGGCCCTGCAGGGTGTGAAGATGCTCTTTTTAATCTTAACAGTGACTTAACACCGGGCCCCCCTCGCAGTCAGCTCTGCATTCTGTGTGTAAATGCTGCGACTCTGCTGCTGGGGGACATGGTTGCTTCACCAGCCATTTCCGTCATTTATGAGTGAACTTTCTAATTCACACAAAAAAATTAATATTAAAAGTTTCTTGAATATACCGTTTATCTTCTGTTAAGTTGGCTCAATTTTTAATGTAACTTTGTTCGATTAAAGTTTGGTATGAAAGGATTCGTCCTCTTCCACCGCGTTCCTGGAAGCCCAAGCGAGGAGGACGAGGACGGGCTGCAGGAGCACGGCTCATCTGGAGGTTCTGTGGCTCTTCCGCAGCGTGAGGAGTGGGGGGGTGGCCGCCAGCGAACCGCTTTCTCCTCCCAGCTTTAAGTCCTTGAGCGCGGTCTGTCGTCGCCGGAAGCCTGTGGCCACAAGACGTCATCACGGCCTCTGGCGAGTCCAGGGTGTGGGGACCGTCAGGGACGGGTGTCGGCTTGAGACTGGCTCTGGAGCAGCTCTGGGCATGGGTCCCGCCCACGCCTACCCCACAGTGGATGCCCCGGCGGCGGGAATCGCCAAGCAGAAGGCTGTCACTTGGACCGTCATCCGCAGCTGCACCCGTGGAAGGCATTTTTATCCGGTGGGACTGAGCCACGGAGTGTCCGAAACACAGCTCTCGAAGCAAGCACGTTAGATCTGGGGCCTGTCCGAGCACCCGCCTCCGAGAGCGGCCGTGTGTCCGAGGCACTGGGAGAGGAGAGGCTGGGCCACCAACGCTTCTGCAGCTCGCAGAGCCCCTGGGTCCCCGGGACAGGCACTCTGGGGAAAGGGAACGCTGTGAAACAGACCCCGCATTGTCTCGAGCGAGAGTGTCCGAATTTATCAATAATATACATTCAAAGTGACCTGCACATCCTGGATGGCCTGTCATGGCGACCAAAGTGCTGGCTTCTAGGCGTGTTCAAGGACACAGAAGACCCCACCTGCTGGGTCCAGGGACACCTGCGGGGGCCCACATACTGCTGCAGGTCAGCCAAGGCCCAGGCCAGAGAATGGGGTCCAGCATTCATCCAGGGATCCTCTGGGTTGGGCTCCTTTTTCTAGAAGTTGACAGGTGGAAATCTGGGCATGAGGGCAACGGTCATGTGTGTTAAAGTTCAGGCTCTGTTGGGTTGGACGCCCCAGCCGTGCCCCCCACCCCCATCCCTCCTTTCACATCTCTGGAGATGGGCAGTCCTGGCTCAGCCCCCTGCCCGGCCCCCTGGGCTCAGGCTGCGGGGCGAAGCTGTCAGATGGGCCCTGGTTTGCTGTCGATGATGCATCTGTAGTGGGAACTAATTTATGGCTCTTGGACCAAGTAGTCCAAGGTGGCTTCCAAATGCCTTGTAGCTGCCCTCCCCCACCCCTCCACTCCCCCCAACCTCCCGCCACCGCGGACACGCAGCGCCTGGCAGGTCCCGGGCAGGGGGCCCCCAGGCCAACCCCGAGGTCCATCACCCACAGAAGCCAGGGAAGGCTCAGCACGACTTGGGTTCGCTTTTACTTGCTGCCTTGAGCTTTCGTACACGTCTGGGGCCGGTGAAGGCGTGCTGCCCGCGTGGGGACGGGTCCAAGGGAAGCTAAGAGGGGGCCAAGGCTGCGGGCCCGGGAGTCAGTGAGCCTGCCAGCAGCCAGAGGAAACGCGGCAGGCCGAGTGTCCCCAGTGCCGGGGGCAGGGAGCAGGGAGCAGCCGCGCCCAGGTCCCTTGGGTGGTGTCGTCTTCCCTCTTTCTACCCCACAAGCAGGTTCACACGTGGAGGCGCTGTCAACGGGAGCTCTGGGACCAGCACCCCAGGCGCACCTCCACGCCTGGGCACCCAGGCCATGTGTGCTCGTGCCCTCTGGGGCTCAGGGCAGGAGGGCCCCTTGGGGGAGGAGCGGAGGCTGGTGCACTGGGCTTTGTCGTTGCCCGCCAACGGGAAGAGCGTTGCCCGCAAAGGCTCACCTGGCCTTCAGGTCCCCTTTACCACCTTCCCAGCCTGGAGTGAGAGGAGACTCACCAGGGCCTCGACAGTGGGTGTAGGTGGCCCCACGCACGGGCCCAGCACAGGGCCTGGAGGCCAGGCACAGCCAGAGCCATTCCAGCTGCCCGGGGACTGGCTCCCATGCTGAGGGCGGCTGGGTGGGTGCCGGAAGGGAGATCGTGGCCTGCTCCTCCGTGAATGCCAGTGCGCAGGGGCCTGGACTGGCTGTGCCCGCTTTGGAGCCTGGTGTGGCTGCGCTCCGGGCTCCTGGCTCCGGGCTGACTGCCTCCCAGCCTTATCTTCCAGAGACCAACATGAAGCCAAAAGAGCTTCAGTGGGTGGACAGGTCGCACCCCCAAGGGCCTGGCCTGCCCCAGAGAGGCCCTCCGTGGGGTACAAGTCTGCTTTCTCAGAAAGGCATGCGGGAGAACTTTAAAGATTTTCCTCTTGAGTTCTATACACTTACAGGGGTAACAGTTTTCCTAAATACACACATTCTTGTCAGTCCTTAAATGGTCCTTAGGGCCAGTCCTCGAGGACAGGATCATGACCCGTGAGCCACTGCCCGTCGGGGACCTAGTTCTCCGGCAGCCTCCCTGACCTGGGTTCAGAGTGTGGGCGCGCAGGCCCTGCAGGGCCCTCTGCAATCCCAGGAATCTGCTCCTGTCTCCCTGGCCCTCCTGCCGCTCAGCCCCAGCGCCACCCGGCTCTGGCCTCCTCCCTGCCTCAGCTCCCAGGGGCCCCGGAAATCCCAGGTCCTCCACAGAGGCAGAGCGGTGCCGCTCTTGACCCCCAGAGCCCCCCGCCACAACAGGGAATCTGGAAGCCTCTGCCAGGGTGTTAAATGGGCTCAAAGGAAGCTCTTTCCAGCCCCTCCTCATGTGCCCCCAACACATGAGGTGTCGTTTCTGGTGCTGAATCAGCCCTTCGGCTGGGCCAGCCTGTGACCCCTGGCCTGCCCCTGACCTGGCAGGCAGGTCAGAGGCGGTGGCCACTGGAGAGCGTGTGGAAGAACATCACAGATTTGTCTTAAAAGAGGGAATAAGAAGACTAAAACTAACCTGGGAAATTTGCTTTTTCTTAAAAGCATTTGTGAAGATAAGAAAACGAAGGTGTCACTACGCTACATCCCAAGACAAAAACGGGCTCAGGAGGGGCCTGGCATCTGCCCAGCAGGCGGGCCTGCGGCAAAGCAAAGCAGCATCTCTACTGTGGAGCCAACACGAGAGGCCGCGGGGAAGCCGGTGCTCTGACGTGCCCCACACGTGGCGGCCTCGTCTGGCCACAGCTCCCCAGGGCACCAAGGCCACGCGCACCCAGGCAGAGCCTCTGGCTTCTCAAGTGCCACAAAACTAAGCTGTACCAAAGCCTTCCCAACAAAATAAATTCCCACATATGTTCCCAAGACCTAAGATAGAGAAATGCATGTGAGGACACATGTTTAACTCAGAAAATATTAAAATATCGCACTGATAGCTTATTCTTTAATAAAACTCCGATAGTGTGATGTAACTGCGACGTGCCCGTGCGACTGGTGACATCTAAAGAAGGCATGACGTGCAGAGCCTGTGCTGAAACCAAGCCTAAATAACACAGTGTATAAACTCCGACTTCTATTTTGATTCAGATTTTTTAAAAAATTACAAAATATCCTCTGCCCCAAATTTCTCAGTTAGAAACATGAGAAGAAAGCCCGGGCTGAGGTAGTTTTACGAATGTGTTGGCTGGAGCACAGGACAGCCGCTCTCAGGACACCCAGAGCTGCAGGCTGGGGGCTCCAGGCCGAGGGGGCGCCGGCTGGTCGGCGGGGCAGTGCCTCCGGGGACGCCAGGCTCTGCGAGGGGGACACGCCAGGCCTCTCCCCGCAGCCCTCCCTCCGGGCCTCTGCGGCGATCCTCGGGCCAGCCCGGCCACACCGTCTCCGCTCCCAGGGGCGAGCCTGCCCGGGCGTCTCAGCGCCCCTCGCCCTTCCTCTGGATCGAGGGCAGGCGGTACTGCTTTACGTGGGGCTTCGTGTCCTTATGCGCATCTGTCTGTTGAAGGAAACAGACACTCAGCGGGGCCGGCCCGAGAGCCGTGGGCCACGGGGAGCGAGCGCGATGGGCTACCTTCTGGCGGGTGCCAACACACTCGAGGGGCCTCAGCCCCGGCACTTTCCTGCTGGGCCCCGAGCCGAACATGGGGTGCAGCGCAGGGCTGGGGTACGAGGATGGTTCGGTCACTCCTGAAAGCTTCAGTTTGGGCAGTTCCATGATGTATGCTGGGCCTGGTCTCTTGGGATGGTCCTCCTTTGGCTTTAGGGACTGTTTCTTGAAAGAAAACACAGGTCAGACGAACGTACAATGGTGTCCCCTTCATGGAAATTAGGAAAAACAAAAGAGGCTCTTTTGCATGACTTCGGCCTAATGGAACTTGACCAAGAGGTGTGGCCATATGGCGACTGGACGGTATCCCCGCCACCCAGGTCCCCCAGCTGCTGTTGGAACATCCCGTGGGAGTTTCACATGGAGTCCGCCCCGTGGGGCAGCTGACTGTAGCCTGGCCTGGCCGGATGCGAGGGAGGACACTGAGACGGTTACAGCCGCACCCCACAGGCCACGGCTGTGCTGGAGGCCCTGCTCTAACTTCGGGTCAGCCAGATCTGCCCGCCGTCTTGCTCTAGTGTGGCTGGTGAGCTAAGAATTTTTTTACTTAAAAAAAAAAAAAAAAGATTCTATTTATTCATTTATTTGAGGGGAGGGAGAAAATCTCTAGCAGACTCCCCGCTGAGCCCAGAGCCCAACATGGGGCTCGATCCCAAAACCCCGAGATCACAATCTGAGCCGAAACCAAGAGTTGGACACTCACTCAACTGAGCCACCCAGGTGCCCCTACATTTTTTAATAGTTGCAAATAATTTCATGGCATACAACAGATGGAATGCACATCACAGTGTCCTAAGTCTTTCTGGGAAAGAGCCCCACGGTTCGTTGATGGGCCGCCCATGGCACCAGAGAAAAGAGGGCAGCTGTGATGGGACCTTATGGCCCACAAAGTGGGGAAGGCCTCCCATGTGGCCCCTCTAGACACGGGGGGACTGTGGTGGGTGCCGGCAGGAGTGACCCAGTCAAATATCTCTCTGGCGGGAAGGGCTGAGCAGGGACAGCAGTTGGGAGGCAAAATAAGGGGGGCTCAGGTGGGCGGGGAGGTGTGTCACCGTTTGGGGCCCGAACCGCTGAAAGGGAGCCACCTCCACCCTTAAAGGGAAGGCAAGGGTAGAGAAGCAGGTTTGGGGGAAGAGACTGGGAGATCGGGTCTGACCCACTCAGCCTATTAGCCAAAGGGAACCTTCAGGCAGGCAGCTGGACACAGCAGTCTGGAACTCCAGAAAGCAGCCTGGCAGCAGACATGTCAGTGACCTCAGCTCCTAGCACGAAGTGACACGCAGAGATGCTGGGACGAGTGACGGAAGGGCACAGTTCCCACACAGTGTGGTGCCAGCCTGGATGTGGAGCTGGTGGGGCCCAGTGGCGGGGGCCACTTGGGGCACTCACGGATGGAAAGACTGTAGAAGGAACCGGTTGTTTCTAAAGCAAATGATCTGCGGGCGTGGGGACCGGTCACCGGCTCGCCGGGTCACCTGGGGCCAATTTACCTTCTCTGTGTTCCCTGCCAAGGTCAGTCAGAGGGCACAGGAAGGCACGGGGTCAGACCTCGAGGACGGGCGCCCTTCCAGGCGGGGGCGGGGGGGCGTCCTCCGCAGGCCACCCGAGGGCATCCTGGCCCAGCCACAACGGGCCGTTTCCAACTCAGTACCTGCTTTCTGTCCTCCTTGGCAACGTGCCAGCGGTTACTGAGTAGTTCTGAAGCCACAGGGCGCTCTGGAAAGAAAGCTTTTCTGTGGCCAGCCAGAGCCTGCTTCTCAGCCGCCCTGCAGGGAAGGGAGAGGGAGGGCACGCGCCCCTGAGAAGGTGCCCAGCCCAACGGCACGTCCCTCTCCCTGTTCCCAAGCTGGTCACCTCTGCCCTCGCCACCATGCTCACCCTGGCATAGGGCCCTGAGGTGCGGGATTAGACGCCCTCAGGCAACTCCTCCCATGCCAGGTACCAGCGTGCCCCCAACCCCACAGCCAGGTCCCCTGTTGTCACTGCTGTGCGCCAGGCCCCTCCTGGAGGTTTAATCGCCGGAGCCTCGGCATCAACCTCAAAGCAGCCGCTGAGCCCTCCTCGTGCCCTGCTGCGGGCCACTGACCGCCTCCTCCTGGAAGGCCACACCAGCAAAGAACGAGGGGGCCACCTCGGGGGTACCCGGTTTAGGACGGAGCTGTTCCCAGACCTACCCGCCCCTGCTCCAACGGCCCAGCTCCCGCCAACACCTGGAGCTGTGCAGGCGCCCACCTCTGCTCCTGGAAGTAGGGGTGCCGCAGGGCCTGGTGGGCAGTGATTCTCTCATCGGGATCATAGGCCACCATTGCGTGCAGGAGGGAGAGGCATTGCGGGGACAGACTGGCTGTCAGTAGAGGTATTCCTGATCCCTTTTTAAAAGGAAAATCAAAACTCATAGCTCTCGACCTGTATTAAAAGCCCAATGATAATAAATGATCATGCCATTATCTAAAGCACGTGACCAGCAGTCGTCATGATTCTACAGAGCCCTGTGCTGATGACAGTTTATGCACTAAGAAGGGGTGTAGCCACACAGTTGTCCAAACCCAGAGACGTGCAGCAGCAGAGGGACACCCCCTCATGTGAGCCTCAGACTTGGGGAGATGATGTGTCAGCATGGGCTTGTGGGTGGGAACCGACACGCCACCCTGGCGCAGGGAATCTCTACAGGGAATCTGTACACCCCTACAGGGGAATCTCTGTACCTTCCACTAAGTTTTGCTCTGAACTTGAAACTGCTCTAAAAAATAAAGTCTAGTTTTAGAAAGGGGCTGGGGAGGAGGTTTGCAAAATCTGTTGTGCTATCAATGCAAGAAAACAACTTTTCTCCGAGAAGACTAACAGCACGTTCTTAGCTGAGAAGAAAGAGATGAAACTTGGAGAAGGAGGAACCCATACCATAGTCTCTCCCTGCCTCCCCAGGGCCCAGGAGCCACTGCACCCCCGACCAAAACCAAACCCTAACCCGTTGTGGTCTGGCTGTCAGGGCTGCTGGCAATGCTGGGTGATGGTCACACGGACACCTCACCGTGCACAGCCTGAATGTGGGAACCTTCTCCACCCAAAAGTTTCTCAGTCCCGGGTAAATATTCAGAGGACGAGACCTGCCCACCAGGCCTTCCACGAGGCCATTTGAACTCCTCTGTGCTGCTGGAGGGCGAGTGGCCCTGGCTGGACCCCTGTGGGATGACAGCCCGGAGCAGCAGGGACCCAAGCAGACGGAGGGCCTATAAGGGCAGGAGAGGCATGGCCTGGTCCCCTTGGCTGGCGGCCACCACCAGCCCTGGCAGGGGGCAAGTTCCATGGGACTCTGGGGCGCACGCCACACTTACTGTGTGAACTTGGCGAGGGTCTTCCCAGGAGGCGTGCCGATGATGTCGTGGATTTTTGAGATCTGGTCCAGCTCATCGGCTCCGGGGAAGAGAGGCCGCAGACTGGAGAGTGGGACGGTGCTGTGGTCAGGACAGGCCACGGCCTCCTCTGCCCATGTCCCCCCCTGCCGGGCTGCTCGCTCACACGGAAACCCGAGGATACGGTCCCACCCGCGTGGTCCTCCCTGCAGCTGTGGGGTTTCCAGTCCCCCTTCAGCTCAGGCCTGCTTCTCCTTTCCCAACAAGGGGGCGTCCTTCTGAGAGGTGGCCACGTTCCTCTGCACACCCTGGGGTCTCCACGGTGAGAGGCATCAGCCCCACAAGTCTCCTGTCACAGGGGAGGTTTTCCCACAAAACTAGACGGTGGGCCGGTTCTGGTTCTGGGCACGAATGAAGTCCAAGAAACATTTTGGTTTCCGGAGTGTTTATGGATTTTGGAATCGTGGATGAAAGATTTTCGGCTTATATAAATAAATTCAATTCGCAGGACATGCCACAAAGAGTTTGGGATGGGAGCTCTGCGTGGGAAAGCTGCCACATCCGTGGCTCCAGGAGAGAAGAGGAAAGCGCAGGCAGGCAGGGAGCAGCTCTGGGACGGGGCGGGCAGCAGGGGTGTGTGTGGCGAGCCCCCCTCCCCGCACCAGCCATCATGTTCCCAGCACCGCAGTCCACTCCCCGTACAGAACTCAGTGCAGCAGGAAGGCCTGTCTGCCGGTACTTAAGCGTCCACAAAAAGCACCACTCAGCTTTCCAAAAATAACAATTCTCAGTCGGTGTGTCCTGAAGGACACGCACGTCTGTATTTATGAAGTGGGCAGCTGAGCTGGCGAGAGCAGACGACCCGGGTCCTCGCCTAGGCACGTCACCCAGATGTTGAATTCACCTGCTCGTCCGTAACAGTCCACTCCGAGCAAGTGAACGCCGGCCCACCCGCTCCGTGGGGCTCTTCCACCCCATGCCCTACTCACCCCTGCGTGGGACCAGCCCACCTCCCTTCTTCTGGGGCCCACAGTTCCACCCGCCGGTTAAGCACGAAGGCTGAGGGGCATGGAGGCCAGGGAGCACGGTTAGGACTGGGCTTTCTAGAATCCAGCTGCGCCACAAGGTGACCCACCCTCACACCTGTGACCAGCACATCCCACACACTGTCTCAGGGTAGGTCCCAGGAGCGGGGACACTGTTCACACACCCCAAGGTGGGCCCACAGGGTGGTAATAAGCACGTTTCTACTCTGGTCCTGAACTCACGAGTCAACCGTCTCACTGCGAAGCCGAGCAGGGAGCCCCGCCGGCCGCCGGCCAAGGTAGGGAGGAAGAAGCGATGCTGTTCTGCACTTAGTCACGTGCGAACAAGGACAAGTATTTGACGAAAAGGAAAATGAAAGCCGAGTGTGCTTTCTGTCACGTGAAATAGTCCCGTCGGCAGGACAACAGTGCAGTCTGTCTGGTAAAGGAAGGGCCCGGCCCGAAGCCACCCGGTGGGTAGGCCGAGCCTTGCCAGGCAGCCCCTTTTGAGGCATCGGCCTGGAGACCCACGGGCACAGGGCAGGAGGTCTCGGACACAAGGTGGGCCTCAGCCCTACCTGGCGATCTCATAGAACACGCAGCCAGCGCTCCACAGGTCCATTTTGTAGGTGTAGAAGCCGTCGGTGAGGAGACATTCCGGGGCACGGTACCAGCGGGTGGAGATGTACTCCGTGTAGGGCTGCTTGGAGTAGACGCTCCGGCAGGATCCGAAGTCCCCCAACTTCAGGATATCCTGCTGCAGGGACAAATGACATCTCACCAAGCCGCTGTTAGAGTAGAGACCACTTCCAATATTTATGCGCCGATGGGAAAATTGCGAGCATCGAAAGCAGCTTATGAAATACAAATGACTTCACGAGCACGCACAAGGGCCTCTGACAGGTACGGGAGTGGGGTTTCTATCCAGTAGGATGCGTTTACAAATATCCTGGCTCTGTTTCACAAATACTTCCAAATGTCTACAGGTTTTGGGAAATTTTAAGTCACAGCATGAGTCTACAAATGAATTAAAAACACCATAGTGGTTCGTTGGCCCTATTGTGTCTCTAACTTCCATCTGTCCAGCTCTGCTGGCCCCTTTGTTCTGCCCCTGGGGGTGGGGAAAGTGGGGGCCAGCTCTCTGGAGCCACGGGTTCTTTGGGTCAAGTCAGAAAGACCGGGGAGACAGGTTTCAAGATATCTCTCCCATTTTGTTCACCCCTCACATTCAGGTAATAACACACACAATGTCAACAAATTTGGAGTCTCTGTGCCTTCACCTATAGCAAACATTAAACACAACACGTTTCCTAGCCAGGTTATCAAGGAACTTCATTCCAGGCTTTCACCTGATCCCATCACCCAGCGCATCATGTCAGACCTCCAACAAGATTGTAAGGCTTGTTAAAAGGCAAGAAAAACAATCTGAGGGACAAAGCAAGCATCAGAACCAGCTTCAGACGTGGCACAGAGTTAAGAATTCTGGAATGGCTCGTCAGGGAATTTAAAATCTCTACAAGTGAATAGTTAAGGGCTCTAGTGGAAAAAGTAGATGATGGCCAAGTTCAGGGAAAATTCACATGGGAAATGCAAGCAGAAAGATGGAACCTCTAAGAATCAAAAGGAAGCACTAGAAATAAAACCACTGTGCCAGAAATAAAAAATGACTTTGATAAGCCCATCCACAGGCTAAACAGCTGCGGAAAGAATCAGCTGGAAGACACGCCAACAGAAACTTCCAAACTGAAAAGCAGAGACAACAAATGGCGAAGACCGAGAACAGCCAACAACCGTGGGATGACTTCAAAAGGTGTGGCACTCCACACTACGATGTGGACAAATGTCAGAATGATGACGCTGAGGGACAAATCCAGACCAAGAAAGAGCCCATACTACAAATGCCATTTAGAGAACATTCTAGAAAGTGCAAACTAATGCCTGGGGACAGGGGGACAACGGACAGGAAGGATGACCAAGGAGTATGAATAACCTTCCAGAGACAAAAGGTCTGTCTGCTTGGCTGTGATGATGGCTTCATGTGTGTATACATATCCCCAAACTCACCAGCCTTCACACTTAGAAATACGTACAGGTGACGTGGCTACAGTATGGGACAGACCTGAGTGCAAATCCTGCCTCTTCTGCTTTCACATGCACAGAGTTTGGAGTGATAATATGAATGGAGTTTATTTATCTATTATTTTTTTAAGTAGTGTTTATACTCAACATGGAGCTTGAACTCATGAGCCCGAAATCAAGAGTCACACGCTCCACCGACTGAGCCAGAACCATACCCAGCGGTTGATTTTTGCCTGTAGTAAGAAGAGAGTGCCTAAGATTATTTCCTTCTGGATGTAAAGTTGTGTCGATAGCACTTATTAAATAAACCACTTCTTCCAACTGGGAGAAAACAACAGTGGAACAAACGTGGTGCCCAGCTACCCGGGACTGAGAGCCTACCTAGCAAAAAGTCTTCCCATTCTACCTTTCTTCTGATAATTTTTTTATATAGAAGTTCTTACCTTTATTAATATATTTTCTGGCTTTACATCTCTGTGAAATATTCCATTTCTGCATTCAATATAAAAGGATAGAATTAATTTGTGCCTCATTCAAATTCTTTTACATTGAATTTTTAATGAATGTTAATACATTTTATCAATTTGGAGCTGCTAATTCTCCAAGAGCATACCTGTGCATATGATCAAGGGATTTACATAACTGGTACATATAGTGCATAATTTTTTTTTCTGATAATGGGTGTCTTCTCCCTGTGCAATCAAGGAAATTGCCGATATGGTTACCAATGATACATATCCCATTTTCTGAAAACAAAAATAGAATCCAACAAATTTATTTAATGATGTGTGAAAATCTAAAAAACAACCGTTAGTAATTTCAGGAAATATGGAGTGCACACACTAAATCCACCATTTAAAATTCTACATACTGGGGCACCTGGGTGGTTCAGTGGTTTAAGCCTCTGCCTTCAGCTCAGGTCATGACCTCAGGGTCCTGGGATTGAGCCCCACATCGGGCTCTCTGCTCAGCGGGGAGCCTGCTTCCCCCCTCTCTCTGCCTGCCTCAATGCCTACTTGTGATCTCTGTCTTTCAAATAAATAAATAAAATCTTAAAATAAAATCCTACATACTGGCATGATCTCATGTAAAATCCCCCGTGCATGCCTTCGGATCACAACAGCAGTACTGAGTAATAAATACCTGCGCAGTTTGGTCTGATAAACCCCACTCACTCCTCCCAGCCCCCACCACTGGGGCAGGTCTTCCAGGACACACTCTTCCAAACTGCTGATTATGAGAGGTCAAGAGTAACTTAAAAATCCAGGGTTTTCCTTGGCTTCCAGTCCGGAATTTTTAAGATTTTATTTATTTGAAAGAGAGCTCACTTGAGCGCAAGTGGAGAGGAGGGACAGGGACAAGCGGACTCCATCTCACGACCCTGAGATCAGGACCTGAACTGAAACCAAGAGCCAACATTTAACCAACGAGTCACCCAGGAGCCCCTGGGGACTTCCATCGTAAAGGGGGGTGGATCACAGTTCCACAGAAGTGGGTTTTAAATGGAAGAAGACCCAGGACTGATTTGAATTTCACAGCCCACTCTCCTCGTCATTCACACCTGCTCACCGGGCCTGCCTGCCTGCGGGTTTTTGTGTCCTATGACTCTTAACAACACACTCCAGCATCACGGTTATCCTTGTTCCAGAAGATGGTACATTCTACTCGATTTTAATTTCAAAGGTGTGCGTTTTTATTTTTGAATCAGAAAAACCACCATTCTCGCCTAATAATCCAGGAAACCACTTTCCCCTCTGTAAGTGCACATCCCCTTTGACATTTTTGCTCCTTTGTTTGCCATTTCTGTTGACAAATTTATTCTTTTTCTCTCCCTAGACAAGAATGTTTTCTGTTAATAGAAAGTAATTTAAATTGCAAAATGTCTAAGTACAATTAACTTTTTCATAATACTGTAATTTTTGTTCTGTATCAAATAATTTATCACCCACTTTCTAGAATTTAAAAGAATTAAATGAAGACTTAGTCCTCTCTCCCTAGCTTGAGTCATTCTGTAACTTTATATTAAATTCCTATCTGTTCAAGAACCGAAAGGAAGCAAAATTTCTCTTCACCATCACATGCACCGTTAGATGAAAAGCTTCCTGAAATCTGGTTCTTGTCCTGTGACAGGGGTCTCACTGCCCACTGAACTAGCCTGGCACTCAGGACCCCCTTCCTCCTGACGAGGGGCTCTCAGGCTACAGGGGCAGCTGAGTCTCCTGGGGGCTCACGAAGACCCGGGATGCTCCTCCCACCTCTAGGCATTTGTGGTTCAGGAGGTCTGTGTCGGGGCTCCAAAAGCTGCCTTACGAACAAGTTCCCAGGTGCAGCTGCCTGACCTGGACCCTCACTTGGAGAACCACGCCCCACCACATCCCTCTTGTCCATGGAATGTTCCAGCCACATTCCCCCATATATGCTTCCGCACATGCCTCCAAAGCTCTCCTGCTTCACCCCTGTGCTCAGGCCATTCTGTTCTAGGAGCACCTACCCGGCCATGCCCACACACCCAGATCTCCCAGCACACACTTGTCAGGACCGTCATCCGAATTTGCACTCAGGAAGGTGGAGTCCTCTACGGAAAGTCTAACCCACCCAGTCTCCACCATCACCGAGGGATGCTTTAAAATGCCGACTCCCGTGGGGGCCTCTTGGTGGCTCAGTCGGTTAAGCCTCTGACTCTGGTTCGGGTCATGAGCTCAGGGTCGTCTACTTGTCCCCCTCCCTCTGCTCGTGCCTGTGTACTCTCGCTGTCTCAAATAAATAAAATCTTTTTAAAAATAAAATTGGGGCACCTGGGGGGCTCAGTGGGTTGGGGCCTCTGCCTTTGGCTCAGGTCATGATCTCAGAGTCCTGGGATCGAGCCCCACATCGGGCTCTCTGCTCGGCAGGGAGCCTGCTTCCTCCTCTCTGCCTGCCTCTCTGCCTGCTTGTAATCTCTGTCAAATAAATAAATAAAATCTTAAACAAAATAAAAAAAAATACCATACAATAAAATGGTGATTCCCAGCTCCAAACCCAGACCTAATGAATCACAAAACAAAACATATGGGCCAGGAATCTGCATTTCTCAGCTGCCCTCAGTTCCCCAGTGTAAGAGCCCTCTTTGGGTACTGACCCTTCCTTTCCTCTTTGTTCCCCCCACCCACCCACTCATAGTCCCGCAGGTAAGGACATAGCTCCCCCCACCCCCGTGCCCCTCTGTGAGAATCCCTGCCTACGTGAGGGGGCTCCTGAGGGAGGGAGGGGCAGTGTGAACCATCTGGAACCCTGGTCTGAACAACCTTGGAATCCACACCCTTGACCAAGAGGGGGCTGACGATCCATTCCCTACAAAAACAAGATCCTAACTTTCCAGACCTGAGACTCTAACTGCTTCCCAATAGATTCCCGTTCTCAAACATCTTGCAACAAAGTACGAGAATTAATCAACCACTCGTAAGCGCCTGTGTGTCCTCCTGAACAGCAGGAGACCATGAATACTGCTTCCCTGTCTGCTGTGCCTATCCCGACCAAGTTAATTTGGGCTAGCTGATTTTTTTAAACCAAATATCCTCACTAAGAAGATTCTAAAGAATGTCATGTACAATATCCATCATGTAAAATATATTTCCGGGAACACAATGATAAGCTGTGGCATTGGCTGCAGGGACTAACTGAAGGAACACGGCCACCAGTGTAGTCCACCCTGTAACACAGTATCTCGCACACACCCCCTCCCACAAGAGACCCCATCCACAGGCCTATGCCAGCCTCTCCCGCTCAGGCTCAGAGGGGCAAGCTGGGGTCCAGCATGGCACTGACATATAAATGGTCTACCAGCTACACCTTGGCCCAGAGGCTGCGCCCGGGGCACCAGGCATACACACAGTCTGCATTATGGCACGCGGATCTGGGGTTAGAGACGCCGACCTGCAGGGGGTAGCAGGCGGGACATCAGCCTCAGCTGGAGCCGGAGCCAGCCTCAGCTGGAGCCGGAGCCATCCCCCACACCCCTCCCTTATCAACCACCGCAAAACTCAAGGACGGCTCCTCTGGTTCCACTCTAGGAAGCCAGCTCACCTTCAGCGGGCGCTGGACCTTCTGTGAAATCCCACTTCCTCACCTCTGCCCTGGAGGCAAGCACACGGGATGGGGAAGACCCGAGGCGGGCCCGTAGCGCACGTGCACTAACCACCGTGAACGTGGTAGGGGCGACGAGGAGGACAGCAGTTGCTTCACTGAAGACCGGGCAGGGGGCCACTGCTCTAACAGCAGCAGCTCCACAGCCCCCCTGAGGAGTTAGACGCTAGCATCATTCCCATTTCACAGACAAGGACCAAGGCTCACAGGCCTGACCCAGACCCGCCATCCTCAGACACGCAGGGCAGGGGAGCTCTGTGCCACGGCCACACAGCCCACCTGGGGCCACACTTCCAGAAACCACAGCATCAACACTAACAGGCTGGTGGCATGGGCTCGGAAGAAGATTCCAGCAACAAGAAGGCCGCATCGCTCTGAGTGGCACAGAGCCCTACTGCGTAAGGAAAACGAAGACATCGGTCACTGGGTCAAAATGTTTCAAGGAAGTGTTAGGAACGACAAAAGATTCATTTCACTGCCACTTTCCTTTTTATATACCCATGAACATGATCTGGGCGGAAACTGCTTAAACAGAGCCAAAGAGCTCTTTTAGCAAGGACAGAAGTAAAATTACTAGGTAGGTAGAGAGCTGTGTGCTGGAGACGACAGGCCGTGTCCCCTCTTCCGTTCGTATGTACGGTCGGTCGGTGAGATTGACGTGACATAAAAATACCACCGATCTGATCTGACACGGTGACATCTGCGCAGGTGACAAGGCACACTGCCTAAGCTCTTCACGGAAATGAACCGTAGTGCTGTGTTTACAGTCAAACCACACTTCATTCCCCAGTATCACAGGTTTACTTCAGGGTGCCTGCCCGACCCACAGCCTCTGAAAGGTACAACCCTAAGGGGACAAGGCCCGGCCCACTGGACCTGCGACAGCCAGCACCCCAGCAGGGGGCCAATGGCCGGGACTTCTGGGCCTGGCCCATCTGCTGCCACTGAAGGCTCCCAGGGTCTGAGTGGCCACGTCTGCCAAAAGAGGAGGGGAGGGACAAGCAGACGAGGAGTGGGAGGGGACCACGTGGCTCCATGGGGGCCAGTGGTGGCCCTGACAGCCAGACCTTTCCCGGTTCCACCTCCCAAGAGGCCTGACTGAGCTTCCGGCAGCAGATGCGAGGTTTGACCGTAAACTCCCTCTTTCGTATGGGAACCAGCTGAATGGCACGTACTTCCTGCAGTGAAACCAACCTACAGCCCTCGCTATCTATAGCCACCAACTGGTAGATGACACAGTGTCACACAGGCAACAGTGCTGGGCACTAGGAGAGCACCGTGCTGGAGCCAGCGAGTCCTCACTGTCCGAGAGTGAACGGCTCAGTGGCCGGAGGGGGACACACAATAAAGCAGCAGATACACGGAAACGAGAGCAAGATGCCACGGAGCGGGGCAGGGGAGGTGAGGGAGCCGGCACCTGAGGCTCTGAACCAGGCACCGCAGGGTGGGGCACAGTGACCTAGCCACTCAAAAAGCAGAGTAATTTAACTTGAAACAGTTAAAAAAAAAAAAAAATCAGATACAAGTTAAAATAAGAGATGCTTCTGCGGGCGCCTGGCTGGCTCAGTGG